TTTTAAATCTACCATCTTTATCGTCAGACTTATTGCCTGCATAAAAGAAAAGAAATCTAAGATCAAAACAATAATTCTTCAAGGTAATCAGAGCCATACACACATATGCTCTGTTTAGTTATACTTGTAAATAATCAAACCAGGAAAACATGCATACAGATGATACAATCTTATGGTCGATTTAGACAATATATAAGATACTTGGAAATGAAAAAGAAACTAATATAACAGAGCGCCTTTAATCTTTCAGTATGTCATAAAGTTATTCAAGAAAGTAACAGGAGCAAAGTCTCAATAGCTTTAAATGACAAAGAATTAAAAGAAATCAGTGCAAACAGTTCTTAAAGATGCTAAAATGTATTTATGTACTTAAAATTTGAATGAAGTAATAGGACATAGAGAGTTCTTTTCTCAGCTTGTTCCATATTGGCATACTTAAGCTTTTGAGACGAAATAATATATACTAACTGAATTTTAGAAGTCAGCAAAGCTTGATTTATCAAATACGTACATATTCAGACACCTATCCTTCTTATTTGGAATACATGCTTTTCATTTGTTTGGCATTCATGAACCTTTCTGTTTCACATAATTGCAAATGGAACTAGAGGCTTTAAAAAGCCTGTGTCGCTCAACTAGGTCTATGTGCACTTCAACAAAGGACACTCTCTAACATTGATGATAAGAATAGAATTCATGACAAAAATCTTTTTTGTTGATCTTGTATTGCTGATCATTTTTGTTATTTAAAGTTTCTATTTATCAATATTAATTTTTATCAAATCAGGCAAAATGCAAAAAAAATGATAAAAATTGTCATTAAAGGGCAATAACTCCAATAAGAATTCATTGGACAATTTCCTCCATATTGTCTTAATTGTAGATCTTGTCTTGCTGATTATTGTTGCTTATATAAGTTTCTATCTATCTATTATAATTTTTAAGATACCAGACAAAACTCAAAAATTGGTAAACATCGTCATCAAAGGGCAATAACTTTAAAAGGAGTCAACTGACGATTTTGGCCATGATGGACTTATTGTAGATATTGTCTTGCTGATCATTTTTGCAATTTAAAGTTTCTCTGCATCTATTATAGTTTTCAAGATGATACGCAAAAATGAAAAAAAATAAATAGTAAAATCTGTTATTTAAGGGCAACTAATCCTATAAGAAGTCCCCTGACAGTTTTGACATAGATGGACAATTGGTAAAGCTCAACATTCTGAAAATTTCTGCCCCTGTCAGATTTTCCCTTTTCACAACAGTTTTCAAAATAATTGACAAAACTTGCATTTTACCCCTATGTTCTATTTTTAGCTATGTCTGCCCTCTTGGGTTGACAGTCAGGGGTCATCAGACACATTTTTTAAACTAGATACATCAATGATGATTGTGGCCAACTTTGGTTAAATTTTGTCCAATAGTTTCAAAGGAGAAGATTTTTGTAAAAGTTAACGTACGACAAAGACAGATGACAGATGCCAAGTGATGAGAAAGCTCACTTGGCCCTTTGGGCCAGGTGAGCTAAAAAATTAAATGTCATGTTGATTATGCTGTTTTAAGTTTAAATGGGTATAACACATGAATTCAATTTTTTAATATGTTGAGTTATTAAAGTCCTCAGTTTATATTTAGTCTGGATACTTGTCATATAATCGAAACAAGATAGCAATGTGTCCAAGCTTTAAACCTGGCTTTAAAAATATCAATAACTTGCCATTCTTTTGTTATAAATTTTAACAAATTTACACTAGGCAAGTAAATTGAAACACAAACCATTTCCTCACAAGGTGAACTGACACATTATATTCTTAAAAGTTTTTCTTGTCTGTGGTGCTTCATTTTGAACTATAGATAGAAAAAAACTGCACAGAAACTGTCTTTTTTAAACTTTTTTTTCAATGAAGGAACTATAGCAAAGAGTCTAGATGGGGTTAACAGAATAGAGAATAATGACCCAAATCTACAGAAAAATAGACCAATAAAATAAAGAATAGAGAATAATCGGCAAAAAGTATAAAGAATAGATGAAAATTATCTAAAAATTCAAAAATACAGAAATGAAGGACTCCTTTTCCAGACCCCCATAGTCATAAAATTTGTATCAAGTCTAAATGCTTACTGGTCTATATTTCCAGTACAGTTATGACTAGCCAGACTATATTTATGCTTGTATGATTTGTTGCATTGTAGGCACTGATACATCCTGCTATCAGAATGAGACCTCTCGTGGATTATTAATCGTGCCTTCGACAACAGCTTCTTTCCACAAATTTTACATTCCAATAAGTCTTGTCCAGTCCCATGGTTGACCCGTTTGTGAGAATACAATCCAGAAGTAGTGGTGAATGATCTTTGACACAAGTTGCATGTATACAAACTCTTTTTATGATATTGTTCTATGTGAACATTTAAATCTGATAGGTTATCGCAAATAGACAGACAAAATGTACATGGGAACTGCCTACTTGGCATATTCTCAACTGCAGGAGGTTCACATGTCTTCTGAATTGAAAGCACAGCTTCACCAAGAAATTTAAGACGATTATCCTCTATTGCAGATTGCAACTGTTCTTTTCTCATGACAGCAGTAAACTCTTTTGCAACCGCCAATTCCAAAGAAGGTCCCCTGTCTTGTTTGCGTTTTGTTAAGTCTATCAGTACATCTGTACTCTGGTTTCCTGAAGAACAAGGTGATTATATATCAATTGCATACCACAACAGTAATTATACTGATTGTAAATTAAATAAAATGTCTTATCCCATCAAGAATACCAACGCTTGTATATATAGCTACAACAACTGTGATTATAATAACTAAGCTTTCTAATAAAAATACATTGATTTTGTTTTAAAAAATTTGACCAATCAATTGTAAATCATTATGATCTCATCACATCAATCTGTTAGTTAAACTTGATTAGTTGAATAAACTTTGAGTAGTTTTCGTCTCCAGTGACAAATATCTATATTTTTTCCTTCAATTCCAATATTACAACATTAACATTTTTTGCAATAAAAGACAGATTCTAAAATGATCAATTTCTCTTAATCCACTAAATTTTAGATCTACAATTTTTCTTTTTTTCCGCTACTTAATAGAACAAAACAGAAATGATGGCAATCATAAATGTTGGAACAAAAAATTATTTACAGCTTGGCAGCTTGGCTTATTGTATAATTCCATCTGTCTATTGTGATTCCCTCTAGATGCCATTTGATAACTTTTTATTGTTGTGTTGCTATCTAACTGGTGTATTAGAGACTGGTCACATCTATTTGTATTCCTACATCAGCAGAAGTGGTAGTGCATAATACCTCAAGAATGTTTGGGATTTTGGCAAACTGCAGTATAAAATATAAAAAGGATACCAAGAATTACTAAAACTAAAAGACAGTACAATAGTACACACCAACCACCAACACCTAACTCCTGAGAACGAGATCAATTTTTTTTTTAAACATATGTAGTCCAAACAATGCTCAAAAGACATTTTTAGGGATCTGATAGCCCCAAATTGAAATAATACATGTAATCCTTAAAACAACTGGCATATTTACAGTCTGACATATTGTATAGACACTTCTCTAAATGTTTTTTTCTTCCAGTTTTTCTGTCTTTTTGTTTGCAGAGTCAAGAACATAAAACCTCATAAACAAACGTTATCTATGATATCAAAAATTGTCTATATACACACTAACATCTGCAATCCCCTTGATCAAATCAGATGTATTACAGAAGAACACATAATCTGATGAAACTAAAAAATCTACCAGTCCTTACTTCACCCTGAATTATTAACTGTTAGTTGACTGTTACCTTTTGTATTCTACTTTCAATCTATTATGAACTTGTGCTTGGGTGAAAGAGTGGCAGGGTTTTGAAAATTGTGGTAAGGTTTTTCATGTAACTCAGAACCATGAACCTTAACTTCTGTAAGGTAAGATTTCTATTAATTTTGTCAAAATAAGTGATATAGGGAAAACTTTACATCAGTTGTTACAATATTGTAATTGTTCATATTTAATTCGAGTCCAATACCAATCCAGGTAGTGGTAGTAGGCATATACTAAAGGGGCATTAGATACGAGATATAAAAAAAAATAAAATGTGATTTTTTTTGTTTGTTCAATCATTAATTAAAGTGAAATAGTGAAATAATAATTCGCTTTTTACAGCCAGTTTGGTTCAGTTTTATCAAATTAAGCAAAGAAACATCGCTCATGAATTATTCACTTGCAAGTTAATAATTCGACCTCATTGAATCCGTATTCATGTGAACTTTAATTGATCTCTATAGCAAGAGATGGATTATGCAAGGACTAGGCGTGTTCAAATATTAAATGGAAAAGAATGTAAACATTGAAAGTGAAATAAGGGTAAACCATTTGGTTGACTGGTTCGATTCAGAAAAACTCATTCTTATACAGGTTAAAACGATTATTTACATATTTTTTTAACCTATAATATGAAATCAAACAGACCTAGAAAAATTCAATTACACGAGTTCGCAATCTATTTATATATATGTTTATGTTTATATCGGGTTATATGACCGTCGGCAGTCTTCAGAGGTCACATCAATGATTAATTAGATGGTGTCTAGACTAAAATACACATGAAATGCTGATATATACTATCGAGTTTATGCATTGTAAATTGTTTATTTTAGACTTTTTATAATTTGGATTTGCGTTTAAGTATGTTATAAGTAGAATATAAGAATTTGAGTCAAATAGGTGAACATGAATTTGACAGCTAATGCCCCTTTAAGAAATGAAGAATAAGAATTGTCACCTGAAATATAAAGCTCAGACTATTTTTTTCTGATCTGATCTAACATATTATACCCAAATAACATCTAAACAATTGACACTGACCTAATATGACACTCCATTTTGGCTCCTTACACACTATTTCAGACGATACACAAACCATTTACTAATGACTAATTTAAATTGATTGCTTACCATTTGCATACAGTAAAAGACTTGGATGTATTTATATTTATATTTATTATTCTATATGCAAAGTACAAAATAACAGCATAACCAATGCATGTCCTATCTCTATAAATTTTTCCAAGAAATGTTTCTTTCAAGTAAAATGAAATATATGCTTTTCTATACACTTATTCAAATTGAGTCAAATATGATGGTTATTTGGTCCTCTATGTACAATGTTTTGGGTAAGGAATTGAACAAATCAAATATCAAACTATAAAAAATTTCAAAGTATTGTCATCAATAAAATATGAACCAATTCTAACAATATCACATTCTACATAAGCAGCCAACCATAACAAGATTTTACATATCATAGTATATTCCAAGATACATATATAAGTCTATTTTCATTATATTTTGTATGCTTGCATTTTAACAAAATTGGAAAAGAATATCAATTTGATGAGAATCAAGAATTTTTGTTTATGACAGCCAATAATTCCCTTAATTCAAGTTAATCAAAATGTTGTAGGTCTTTTAAACTTTTTTTCATTTTAATAGATTAAACATCAAAGCAACCAAAAATTATAATTTACATTGTTGGCTAATGAGAAACTCCTGAGAATGCAAAGAATTTTTCATTTTTAAAACACTTCATCAATTAAATTGTCAATTAAACAGTCCATTCAACTTCTATTCACAAATTAAATAGGATACAAAATATATTTTCAAGGAAATAACAAAAATAGAACACTGTAGAAAAAAGATTGATTCTGCATAAAAATACTTTTGTAATTATATACAATTTTAAGAAATATTTAAAAGCATAAATAAGATTTATACACTCAATACATAATTTTTTTCTATTAAATTAGTTTTTTTTCCAATATGTTCCATATCACAAACGATACCTTTAAGCTCATCTATTCAACAATAACAGTTGCGCTTTCACTAAACTAATCCACACACTTGTGCCTTGAAAATGCCTCCATGTGTTTATATTTTTTGCCACACACCTCACATTTATAAGGGCGATTTTCTGTATGGGTAAACAAGTGAGCTTTGTAATAACTCAGAAATCCAAACCTTTTACCACATATTTCACATTCTATCAATCGAGCATTACTATGGAACAACTTCCTGTGTTTGTATAAGCCTGATTTAGATGCAAAGCGGCGATGGCAATCCTTACATTTTTCATTTCTCTCTTTCCCATCATCATGTAACCAAAATCTAGGGACTCCTGTATAATGTAAAACAAAAGCAACAAATGAAAATAAAAACATAAACTGTACAAAAGGGCTAACAACCAAGCAAAACATAAATGATCTATACACTGCAGCAAGTTTCTCTGTGAAATCTAACTTATATTTGATTATCCCCTCCTTTATCTCAGCATGCCCATGATGTCATGGGGATCTAGGTTGCATTTTACATTAATGGAATATTTTGCATTTTTATATCACCGTTTTGTTGTTGGTTTTTTTAATAAGAATTTAAAAAATGCATACAACACTTTATAAATTTCATGCATACAAAGAACTTTTCTGGATTTACCTTCATCAGGAACACTCAAAGCCGAATATTTGAAAGCCAATAAGGATATATATTAGAACCGAAACAGTTGAAGAGCTATATGAACAAATTGGGTGTGAGTTACACATCAATGAGGAAGCAATCCAGTGACATACACACCAGTTAAATCGATAGGTCAACACACTGTCTTCAATAATAGACAAGTATCTTTACAGCTTGTCCAGCTCTAAATATCACCAAGTCCAGAAATTTTCCTCTTTGACAAAGGAAAGCATAAACTTGATGTGCTACATTTTCACACTAATTAGATATCAATTTTCATAACCATATTGATTAAGCCTAAAATATTATTGTTTACAGATCATCATTTCTTGTTTTGTTAACTCTCCTTGCAATTATTTTCTTTCTTCTTTGTTCTCATTTTTCACCTCGGCACATTTAAACGTGTAGTAGTTTCTATATAAATAGATGGTTAAATAAAGTGAGAAAGACCTTGCTTACAAAAGCAAAACTTATGCATACAAAACAAATATCAGTTTCTATGTCTGAAAATATCTTTTATCTTTGAAAATATTAACCAACTGGTTGACCAATGATGGGCACGTCAGAACATCAAAATTTATACTATTAATATATTTATATTTAGACTTGGATATCAGATGGCAAACTTTCAGGTCTATGAATATGGAGGTTTCACTTGAAACATATCTCTGATCATCAAAATTTGAATTATTTTCACCAACAATTTATTTACTGTTTGTAATAGTTTGCACTGTTTTAAAGTGTTGTTGTCAACATGAACTTTGTGTTGTGCATTTAGTTTGTCAGGATGCACTGGATGTAAATGTCTCTTTTACATTTCAATCTCAACTGGCCATAACCAGTCAAATAAAGTTCCAACTAAGGGAGCTACCATTTGATTTTTATGGGGTAGCTAGGATGAAAAATTTTGTCCTGCCTTTTTTTTTTAGTTGTAACCTCTGTAATCTCTGTCCTGCCTTTTTTTTTTATCCTGACTTTTTTACATAAATTGTCAATCCTGCCTAGTCCGACCCCCCCCCCCCCCTCCCATAAAAATCAAATGGTAGCTCCCTTATAATCTGTCAACACCAAAAAGATCAACTCTTCTTCATTTGATTAACACATAATACATTGTAATATAGCCATGATTATGCTAGCAGGTGGCATTAATAAGCCAGCAATCAGTTATTCTATAAAATTACATTTTCAAATGAGTAAAAGATGACGATGCTAGGTAAAATTGTCAATAAGACAGCTGCTCAAAGACAAAAACAACCAATAGACATATATATGCCTATATACACTAAACAGCAGAAACACTTCTAGGTGGTTTTTATTATATGTGTCAACTGTTGAAATCACAACCCTTAAGGTGATACCTAACACTACAGGGAGATAACTCTGTAAAAATCAGCTAAACGTTTTAAGCACGTTGTTTTGTTAAGGAAATATTACGCTTCTCAATGATCAAAATTAGTGTTTGTCAAACTGCTATATAACCAATTTTTCTGATAAAGTGGTTGGTTCAAATTCTTTGAAATTTTTATATTTTTGTCAAAGGGTCAAAGTAAACATTATGTCAAAATTTTATGAAAATTAAACGAGCCAAATTAATTTTAGTCAAGGTGTTGGGTACCACCTTAAGAGAAAAAGCTTTACTCTGGTAACTTAACTAATTGTGAAGTGTGGAATCATTATTTTACCAATTTTCCTGGAGTTCATGGGTAAAGCAAACCACAAATTTAAATGTTTTCGATGACGTACAAATTTTCTAAAGGATAACTTGTAGATAAACTTTGGCAAAACCATGAATTCAAATATCCACAAAAATACTATTTTTCCTCAATCAACGAAAAAATTTGTAACCATGAAAATAAATAAATCTACAGTATTCTGATTGAGTGAATTTTATACAACATCAATTACTTTTGTGTGTACTATCTTTTTTTTTTTCTTCTTTCAGTTATCGTATGAAATTTAATAGCTGTTTTGTGAAAACTCTTTTATTTTGAAATGCATGAAATTATAATTGTAAAGTATGAACAATCTGAACAAAACTTCTAGAACTTGGTGAACAAATAATCGACTTTTCATCCAATTACAAACTAATGTATCTACATTATTTACAATGGGTTAAGTGAAAACAACATCTTGGAAAATAATAATTAATGTTGATATAATCAAATTATCATGCATTGTGACCTTCAATTCTAACAGCAAAAGTATTTGTGTTTTTAAAACTAACAAATAAAGACAAATGTGTGATGAAACATTGATTTCAACATTAACTATTTACAGTCCTTGCAAAGTTGCATATCAGATTTCAAAAGAATACTTGGAATACAAGGAATACAATGTCAATTGTATAAATGCACTTATTTCAACATAATATTAGAAATAAAATTGGAAATCTTCTGGATTTTTAACAAATGGGGCTTGAACCTTCAAAGCAAAAAGTAAAAATCAATAAAAAATATTATCAAGAAACAATATGCCAGACTACATAACAATAAATTTTGCAAGATAAGACTGTCGTCTTAATTATTTTGAATGATGCACATAGTCTATATGGTCATCAAGATCGTTCCTCTTTTTGTAGGTTTTTTTACAGAATGCACAAACATGAAAATTTTGGTATTTTCTGTTATGGCTGTTCATGTGTTGTCGAAGTTCAGACACGTAACTGAATTTTGCATTACAAATGTGGCATGTTTGCAAATTTTCCTGAGGTCCATGGAATTTCTTGTCATGCTTCATGATTCCAGATCTGGTCACAAAGACTTTGTTGCACACAAGACAACTGTTAGGATGTTTACATGTCATGTGATCTTCCAAAGCCGATTCTGATGATGTTGTAAATGAACAGAATTTACAATTGATTTCTATATTGACAGAGCTGATATCTGATTGCGGAACAGATTCTGGTGAAGCTGTATTATCTATGACATGCTGCGTTGACTGTGAAATGGGAATTGTTGAACTGACAGCAGTAGAATAAGATAATGTTTTCACAACATTGTGTAACATATCAACCAGTTCCGATTCACACATCTCATCTTTAGTTAGTGGTGTTATGGTCAATGAAGATGCTACTCCTGGCAAACCTCTTTTGTAATCTGTTGTGCTCGTCTGCTGTGGTGCTGATGTCCCGTTTATAGTGGTATCATATGTATGTGTCACTTGTGATACTTGTGGCTTTAAAGATGAAACTAACATTTGTTGCGGCTGATTATTACCAACAGCTTCAAGCATACAATGGTAGCTGGACATTTTCGCTTTCTTTTTTCCTGTTAAAATATATTGTTTCTGTACATTACTTCCAAATTTCCATTTAAGCAGCCATTGCATGCAACCTCTGATACATGCAAAACACTTTGTATTAACTAAAACTGGACAATAAATGTAAAACATGCTACATGCTGGTATACTATATGTCAAATACTGTTTGTCAGAGCTATTAACTTGTAACAGTGAGACTGCATGTTTTTCAATATTGCACTAAAATCCTTGACTTAAATTGGACCATATACTTGATATTTTCCTAGTAGAAATATAACTAGATACCAGTAAAGTATCCCTTGCAGCAATAGTGCACCAAAACAAATACAATTTACATGCAAGGATCTGCAATCAGAGTCCTTGATGTGGTGTCCTCTAGTTCCAAAATGAGTCTTCAATGATTTTATATAATAATAAGTAATAACAATAATGATGTTAATGATTATAGCAAAGCTTCCATTAAAATTTCATAAAATTATATAGAAACCAAACTCATAAAATGTACTTGCAATACTATTTAGCTAACTTTCAAAGATTTTCATTCAGTTCTACCACAAAACTCAATTCCAAAATCAACTATTTTTATTTTACCTTTTCCCAACTGTCACTTGGCATCAGACTTGAACATTATCCACGTTTTACCTAAATTCAATGTTTAATTCAACTGGCAACCAATAAATAGTTTCAATTAAAACTAAAAAGATATATAACTACCATAAAAATAATTTCAAAAACATAAGCTGTTGTGAGTTCAAAGAAAAAATAATTTAGGAGTTGTCCCATTAAGATCATATATCAGTATACCAAGGTATTTCTTATGGCAACCATTTTCTGAAATTGATCGGAGTTGTAAAATAGAAATCATTCCTGCCAAGTTTGAATCGATTTAGCCAATAGGTTTAAAGGAGTAAAAAGAATAAGCAATTTCAATGAAAATCTAAATGTATTTGCAGCCTGATCATAACCATTTAAGAGATTGATTGATTGATTGGTGTTTAACACCACTTTCAGCACTATTGTGCTATTTAGTAGCAGTCAGTTTTTATTGGTGGAGGAAGCTAGAGTGCACAGAGAGAACCAGCGACCATCTGTAGGAAAACTGACAATCATAGTCAATAAATATTGAGAGTCGAGCGCACCTGCCTAGTGCTGATTCAAACTCACAACCTCAGTGATGAAAGGCTATTGATACAGTAGTTTGAGTACTTAGACTACTTGGCCACCGAGGCTCCACCAATTAAGACATTAGTAAGCAGGCTTACATATCTTGCTCTAATATTTTGCCTGATAGCAGAAGAATTTGAGAACTGATCTGTCAAGTCAACATCTTTCAGGGGTTTGTTTTGATCATTTTCAATAAACTGACAATTTTTAAAGAAAGGCCTTTCTGTATATAACTCTTTCATG